GAGGATGGGGAATGCCTTAACAGGTGTGCTGCAGAAAATGTTTATTAACGTAAGTATACCTTGGGCTGCAAAAGGTTGGGAAACACTGGCTTAAAGGTAATGCCTTTTGGACTTCAGTGAGGATAGTAGACAAGGAGAAAAATGGCTTCACCCTTATGCTGCTTTTGTTTTATGATTTTCTTTTGCATTTCCTCTTCTGTAGCATGAGGCTGACCGGAACCAAGAGCTTCTCACACGCATAAAGCAGTATCAAGAGAGGGAAGTGGAGGCTGAGAATAAACTAAAGGAACAAATTGAGATGAATAAGTCCTATAAGAAAAGTATGGAAACCATGAGCAAGAAACTGCAGGAGAAGGAGAGCAAATTAGCTGAAGCTAACGAAGTAGGTGCCTAGTACTTTCTTCTTTTGTCCACAGCTCTGGGTGACTTTGAGGGTCATGTAAATCAGAGCAACTAACTCTTAGTACTAAGGCTGGAACCAGAAACTATGCTGTGATTTAACAAATGTAGATTTGTTAATATATGTGTCTATCCCAAACAGTCTAAATGAAGCAAGGCCCAGGAGAATAGTTTGAGAAGGTGGTATGGGGATTGATTAGAGGAAATGGCTGGAGGAGAAGTGCGGGCATGCCAAGTACTGGGGAAATTGCGGGAGAGAAGGCATGAAGCAGAGAGTAGTGGAAGTAAAGAGGGCAGTAGTGAGGTGAGGGTGTGGATGAGGAAATGAGCAGGAGAATAAGAGGTGCTGAGATACAGATGGGGACAAAGCTGTGAGGAGGGGATGTCTTCCAAAACTGTCAACTTCCTTTCCTACATTTTGATAGTTAAATATTTTTTTGATTGTTAAATAGTCGTAGCTGCTTAGGTCTGATGTGGAAGGTTTCTGGGTTATTATATATCATACAAGGCAAGGACTTTTTTGGGTGATATCTTCAGTTGGACCAACTGCCTGGTTGGGATGAAGTTAGGCTTTTGAATGCATCCAATTTCAGTTGGAATTAGTGACCATAACACCATCGCAGTCCTGTTGCTTGAGAGGACACTTGAGCCAATATTAGGTCTTCAAACAGCCCCATTTCAGTGCCATTTATCTTATGTCCCTCAACTTTGGGGTAGTTTTTTTTGTTTGTCTTTGTCACTAAAGTATCCAGAACTGGCCTTAGGGAAAATGGTGCCTGAGGTGAACTTGTATTTTGGCTCCTCCCACTCCAGTCACCAGCCTTGGGTGGATGGGGTGCTGGATGACTGAGGGTGTGTAAGCGGTTGGGTGGGGTGTGTGAGGGGCACATGTGCCCCAGTGACTGTGGGTGGCAGGGACCATGTGTCCGCTTACCCGAGATGCTGGCCTGGTACCAGGTGGTGGGGCTGGGTGGCAGAAGCTCAGCGTGGGGCAGCAGGAGAGGCAGGCATGAAGACAGCAGGCAGAGCTCCCTGCACAGGAAGGCCAGCTCCAGTGGCAGGGCAGCGCTGCCCTCACCCCCTGCAGTAGTGCCAGTGGCTGGCTGCAGTTCAGCCACCAGTCCCAGCAGGTCGGTGATAGTGAAGCTCTTGGCATGCAAGCTGAGGCCACCTAGCCACTCCTCCTTGCTGGGCATTGCATCCTTGCCCTTGGCCTGGCCCTTGGTGCTCTCCTCCATGTCTGTCATAATGCCTGGCAGTGCCTACTGCCAATGCTGCCCAGGGGCTTTTTATTGTGCTGCCCTGGCTGGCAAACTCCAGTCGGCTCCAGGCATGGCCGGAGATGGGGTAGGTCCTGCTGTGCAACCCTCAGGATTAGTTGCCACCAAAGTCCCCTGACAGCTCCTTCCTGGCACAAGCTGTGGGGCAGGGCAGGGTGTATGTGTGTATGCGTGTGAGGCCACCCTCGGTCGTCACCCACGCTGCCCATCCCTAAGGCCAGCTCTGAAAGTACCTGATATATTTTAGGTATTGTATATGAAGTCTCAGGATGCTTATGATGGGGGAGGGCCAGGATATCCCAGCCTGTGGTCTATTCTTCAGGCTTGCTTTTGATTCCCGGCTCTGCTTTGTTTGCTGTGTTTATAAATTGGGCAATTGCTTTAAGCTTATTTCAGATTTTATCCCCATGTATGAGTATCTGGATTTGGTTTAGGGGCTTAGGTACTTTGCAGCAGATAAAGGTATGACAGCAAGTGCTGCTGTGAGTCCCCTTTTATTTATGCCCTAAATGTTCCCTTGACACTGATTTAGGTAAGGTGAAATGATCGTAGTATCTAGATTTGTATTGGGGGTGTAATACCTTCACGGTTACTTGGCTTGTTGAGAATTGGGTCTCTGTTTTGAAACCTCACTGCTAAGGTATGTGGGCATATAATTATGGTGGGATAATTTGCAGCCGTAAGTCTGATCCTTGCATGTGGGCATGTTCTGGCTTTGAAGCCTTTCTGTGTGCCAGTCTGAGATTACTCATTTAATGGATAATGGAATTGACAATTTTGTGGCAGATGAAAGAGAGCAAAGATTCTTCTTTGCCTTTGTTCTGAAGTGAGTTTGCAGGTCTGAATGGATTATTTCTAGATTCAGCGCTTTACATTGTTCAATTGTGTTTCATCTCAGCGGTTTGCCTTTTATCATATCTGGCCTGAAGGTCCATTGGTCTATTTATCTGTTGTTCTTTCCCTTCTTCTTTCTGTGAATCCAGACCATCAGCATGCTAGAAGGGAGAATATCTGAGCTAAAGTGGAGTTTAATGAATCAGGAGATGCAAACAGCAAGCCAGGAGTCTCAGAGAGAGGAGCTGATGGAACAGCTGGATGTACAACACAAGTAAGTAGGGAATCAACAACTGCCAGGAGAAAAAAAACAAACCTTCAGTCTTCTGTAGCTGCTGTCACTCAGGAAACTTTCAACAGCTTTTGATTTCTGCTCTTCAAAGGGCTTCTTTGATCTGGATATACAGCTTATAAAAGTTGTTGGAAACTAGCTCTGAGGAGCAGTTTAATTTTACCTTGAAAAATAAGTACCCAGGTTTAAAATCTCCTTGCCTGATGTACCACATTTTAAGACACAGAGTTAACAGGAGATGGGTGTGTGGAGAAGGCTAATCTAAGTGTTAAGATTAATTTATGGCCTGATAGTTACTTTCATAATGTTTGTAACTGAGGGTTAATTAAAAGAGCTGATGAAGCGTGTCCCTGCTCACTGAATTTTTATTTAGTTCTGTCATCCAATGCCCTGTTAGGACCCAAGTATAAGTGACTCTTTATGTATTGTACATACAGACTTGCTGGTGCGGGAGTGTAGGTGGTTTGATTGGGGTGCACCTAAGGATAAGTGGGGTAATTTTTTTTCCAATGAATAACTGTTCTTATTCCTTTAACTGTATTTTCTAAATATACCTCTATGTGGATTGCTTCTGTCAAGCGATTCTTGTATATAAATGGATATCTTGTATCTGCATGAAATAGAAAATGGCAGGAAGCCAGCCAGCAAGTCCAAACTCTGCAAGCAAACCAGACCCTGATGGCTGAATATGAGCAGAAGATTAAGGTGAGAAACTTTGTGATCCACTCTCAGCTTTTCCTCTTTCATTTTTATATGGAAAAGCAGACAATATGTATAAAAATTATCCTTCTAGAAGTAGAAGGCTAGCCTGTCATGTAAGTAGCTAAGTGGCTTGCCTGTTGAGTCGGAGAGAGCTGAAGTTACCTCAGTTCAAATTTCAAAGCATGAAAATTAGCAAAGTGGATTATATAGCTTATAATAAGCAGCCTTTACATGGCACTCTTCATCTTTAATATATAGTAAAGTCCAACTGGCTGAAAGCTCTATACATTCCTTCTTTGCAGAAGACCGACTAACATCCTTACATAGCTTGCTCACTTGATTCAAGCTCTTCCTGATTTTATTCACTGTTCTGGCACAGTAGTCCTAGGCAAATGGTGGCAGATGAACATGGTAACTCTGAATTCATCCCTGCTCTCAGGCAGGTCCTTTCAAAGGGTGTTTTTATGAACCATAGTAAGCTTGAAGGCTTTTGATTATCTGCTAACTTTAGGGCAGGGTGGGGGATATTAGAGGTGTCTTTTACCAAACTAATGTCTAGGCCAGTTCAGCATGAATCATTCCTATATTGATATAAGGCATGGTGGGTG